AAGAAAAACTCCCTTTTGTAAGTAAACAGGACAAAACTTTAGCCCAAGAGGCTCTACTTTCACAAGTTACCCATTAGGAGACCATCAAATATTTTCTAGAATTAATACATTATTCTTAAGCCACTTTCGTGGGTAAAACTCCCTCTAGCGCGTAAACTGTGAAAGATAGAGCCAAACGGACGAAATTTTCGCCCAAAAGGGCTCTACTCGTACGAGTTACCCCTTAGGAGACTATAAAAAAATATTTTTTTTCCACTTCTTAGACCAACCTCTATTTCTTTGTTACCCCCTCAGATACACTCAGGGGTGGTTGCCAGGATTTGCACCAACCGTTTCGTTGACCAGAAGTGACAACAATAATACCCTGAAAATTTCAAACCTCTAGCCCACGTCCTTCTTGGGAAACGGACAGACAGACAGACAGACAGACAGACAGACAGACGAACACAGAGGCGATGGCATAAGCCCGCTTATATAGCTTTTCAGCAAAAGAGCGGGCTAAAAAAGTTGGACAAGTCGAATAACTAACTTATGTCCAAAGGACTACAGTAAAAATTACAAGGTAGATGTACGCCAGGATACATCTACCTTGCGATCCGCCTGCAACTGCGATAGGGGACGGGCCTGCTTAGCCTGCCGGCGGCGTTTGGTCGGGCCTGCGGGGGAACGGAAACGGTAATCTCTATTTTATGAGCTTGCGCGCAAGATACTAAAACCCCTCTTTGATTTTACAGTCCTCCTGGCTCTGATTCAGGAAAATCCTACTGCATATATTTAAACCAATTATTGTCGGAGGAATTTTGCGCGCAAGCTTCGAAGTAGACAACAGCTCTGCCCGTAGGTTCTGTCTGTCATGACCATGAAAATTGATCCCAACTCTGCTAATCTAAGGGTGTAGTAGTTTGCCAGTTTAAACTGCGAAACTTTTTAGCTCTGCAGTTCCAACTAGAGAACTAAAACGTTTCGCAGTTACAACTGCAGAACCTTTCTTTCGCAATTTAAACTGACAAGCTACTACACAGTAAGATTAGCAGAGAAGATACATTCTGATGTTTTCCTGTTAAATGAGATGCAGTGAAACAAAACTCGCTTCGCCAGTTTGTAAAGCGCACCCGCAACAGAGAGCTGAAGTACAAAAGTTTTTTATTTTACAGGCTTAGTTGGCGTTGGCGCGGGGCCACGTTTCTACCATGGAGCCACCAATTCAGAGGAAGACATCACTGCAGCTGAAAATGCTAACGTCAACACTGGAATTGGGCTAACCATCGACCCTTTAGTCTTCGGCGACTACCCGGAAGCAGTGCGTGATTCGAGAAAGGCATTTACAGATGAAGAGAAGGATCTTATTAAAGGTAAGTAGTTTAAAAAGTTTGACCTAGTTCAGGCCATATACAGGGTATATTTTGCCCGAGTTGATGTTTTGATGTAATTGGGGTAAGCAATGCTGTGGACACACAAAATTATTTTTTTTAACTCAACGTGTTCATCGTCACCGCCATCTATTTGAATTGTTATGAACTTTTTTTCACGGATAGATGGTGTGTTTCCGTATGCATGCGCTATTGTGTCTTATTTTATATGCAATGCAATTATGAACAATTTTGTCCCTAATTGAGTACAAAATAATACGTAATAGTTCAAGTTCACAGAACGTCAGTGCGTGTTGAAAAGTACATAAGAACTTAGTGTGGAGTTGCCGGATGATGTCTTTTGACAGCTCGGGATGCCCGGAAGCTATTTTGGCCGCTGGATTTGGATTCAGAATATTTCTTTACGTCGAAAACTGACAAGAACATCAGAATCGGACAAATCATAGGTCCCAAAACTAGAAAATAAATAAATCGTTCATAGCCATTCGTCCTTGAGTTGTCACGTTATGAAAATATACTGGATGAAGGGGCAAATTCCACTGCCAGCTGTAAATTTCAACTGGCATGTCACACTATAGTTCAGATTCGGATTGAAAAGAGTGAGCTGTCAGTAAGAACGTGTTTAATTCTCAGAGGTAGGCAAGTGCGAACTAACATTCACAGTAAACTTTCAGGAAGAATCGATTTTGTGGGTGTGAACATGTATGGAGGCCAGAACGCAAGTTCATCCGGAGGCGGAGGTAGTGATGGTCCACCCGGGGATGGCGGCAGCGGCGGAGGGGACGATCAGGGACCACCTCCTGGTGACGGTGGTTCGGGTGATGGCAGTGGCGGAAACAGGCCCGATTCATTTGGTGACGTTGTAAGTATATCTCTATATTTATTGTCATAGTCGCCGCTTACCTTCCCCAGGGTCTAAGAATCACTTTTTCTTGACCACTGACCCCTCTAGGAGCCCAATGTCAATAATCCTAATTACAAGTAAATACAGGTAATTAGTGCTAATTACTGGTAATTACAGGTTAACTAGTGCTAGTTACAGGTAAAAACAGACAAACACTGTCAGAAAAAATACACGAAAAACACACAGAAAAACTATGGTCAATTTTTTGCCCAGAACGTCCGTCCAAATCTGTGCTCAAACCACAAAGACGGTACGGAATAAAGCATTCCGGTAAGGCTGAAATGCAGAAGAATGCAGGGAACAAGAAAACGAAAGTCCCATGTAAAAGCATAAAACATGATTTCCGTTTTCTTCTTCCTCGCATTCTTCTTCATTTTAGCTTTACCGGAATGCTTTATCAAAGGTACACAAAACTAGAGATGAGCGAACAGGCCAGTTCGATTTTCAACGAACACGAACAAATTTGGTCTAAAAATCTTTGAACGAACACGAACAGCCAGATTTTTCTTCAAACGAACCGAACCGAACAATGTACTGTTCAATTTCGATCCGCACACGAACGGTTTATTATTACAATTTGTTTTTGTAAAAGCGACTGCTGCAAAATCTCTATTAGCTCTCAGAGCTAATATAGCAATGACTGTGTCCCATCGAGCGAAGAGTATAAGCTGTCCCGAATCCAGCTAACAAAAACCCAACGCCGTCATCAGGGGCTTAAGTGTCACGACGGACTCGCCATGCGTTTTTCGGAACAGATTTAATATTTTCGAAATTTCTCTCAACGGAAATTACAGGCAGAAAAATAAGTTTGCTCGTTTAGCTAATTCCAGCTGGCATTCGTTAGCTGTCTAGCTAAGGTGGTTATCTACTAGGCCAAAAGTTAGCTGTGTGTGTACCCCAAATCAAGTTAGCGACTCAGTGAAGAGAGTTATCAGAATAAATTAGCATGACAGCTAATCTTTCTTACAATTTAAGTTTGGGCTAGAATTTCGGGTTGCGTTATCTATCGCTGATGAATGCACTGGCTCAGGCGTGACATTCATCTGGACTTCCGCCCCTGGGATGGCTGGCTGCCAGGTGGCTAAGTCTACGATGTTTAGCCCGCCCTTCTGCTTTGAAAAAGCAATCCAGTGGGGCAAACGACCTCGTGTCTGTCTGTGTGTCTGTGTGTGTGTCTGTGTGTTTGTCTGTTCCACAAGAAGGAGATGTGCTAGAGACTTGAAATTTTCAGAGTATCTTAAGGTTCACTCCTAGAGAACGAGACGCCTACGGCAAACCCTGGCAACCACCCATAAGGGTGTGAATGGGGGTATCCAAGGTTCAAATATTTGCTCAAAAAGTTATTTTATTATGTTCATTTAAGGGGTAACCCGTGAAGGTAGAGCTGTTTGGGCAAAAATTTCGTCCGTTTGGCTCTATTTCTAACCGTTTAGGCGCTGGAGGGTCTTTCTTGACAAAAATAAGCTAAAAATTGCTGTAGTGAACAATAAGTTGTAGAAGGAGGCGTAAGAAGGCCCAAAAGCCGCAAAATAGGAAAGAAACTTCCCCTCTCCGCCCCTCGCCCCATAAAAAAAGTTTTTTAAGCAGAAGGGTAGATTGTAGTCGCGGTACTTCACCGTTACATCCCTTTGTCGTGTCTACGGGGCAAATTTTAAAGACGACGGGTTTTAGCGGATCGAAGGTCCGTTACATCATTTGATTATGTTCAGCAAATCGCGTGACAGAGGGCCCGACCATCGCCGCCGGCAGGCCAAGCAGGCCCGGCCCCTGCCGAACGGAGTTTCTGGCGCGCGGCGGAGCTGGCAACTCTGTTTGGCGGAAGGGTGGACCTGCTTGTTAGCAGTCACGTAGTGACCGAATACATCGGCGAGGTAAAAAGTCTGAGCTCACCCTGTGCTAAATATAGAGCTATACAGCTATAATGTACTATATAATGTAGCTATAATGTACCTACACCGTTAAAAAAAATCTGTAATTTTACAGGAAATGTTTAGCTAATTTTTGGGGTAGATGGTGTCGTAAACTATTTTACGAGGGGTCGCCAACTATCCTCAGCAGTGTACGCAGTATTATAGTATTGTGCGGTATTATGGAACGTTTTAAGGGATTTTATGTCATGTTATTTGATATTATGAAGTATTATAGACTATTATGAGGTATTATAAGGTATTATTGGGGTATTTTGTGACATAGTATAGAGTATTATGAAGTATTATAGAGGTATTACGGGACCCGTGAACGGAGTATTGTGCGAGTTGGCGACCCCTCGTTATTTTTGCAGCGTAGTTGTAAAATTACGACGATTGCCATAGAACCCAAAAAACATTGACACTTTTTTACATTTTCAAGGTAGCGCTGTAACATAACAGAATAGAATGTCAGAGTACAACATCGGTTGTAGAATCCGTCATATAAATATTTCGAAGATTATGATTTTTTTCCGTTTCAGTATTACAATTTGGGTGTTTCTCATGCATTTATCGTGAGTTTTTTCCTCATTTGAGGACGTTGTTTTGGATTATGTCTACAAATTCAAGCCCGGACTTCACTTTGCAAAGCTTTGTAAAAATCAAGATAACTTTACAACCCTGCCGTAATTTTACAGTGCCACCATTATTTCACAGCTGTGCCAATAAATTTTAACATTCCTCGTAAAACTACAGCTCCAACCATCGTGTTTTACGGATAGGGTTGTTTTTTTTCCAAAAGCCTGTAAAATGTTCAGCTGTAAAATTGTAATATATTTTTAACAGTGTAGGACAGCTAATGTTCATTAGACAACTAATACAATGCCGCTAACTTCTTTAGCTGTATGGCTGTCATTTTAACCTATCCATACATAGCTACTGGAATAAGCCGAGTAGCTAAGTTTTAGCTGCACAGCTAATTGTTTTTCTGCGTGTAGGGCTGTATCGTACCATACTGTAACTAAAACCGTGAAGAAATTCGGGTAGTAGAAGCGCGATTACTGTAAAAAGTTTTAAAAAACTGGCATTGTTGCGCCTGTGGTGGTCATCTAGGCCACAGTGCTACACAGGGGTGTCCAGGGGTTGCCTGGCTGTCCACCACAGGTCCAAAAATTCAAATTCCTGACTTTGCTACATTCTAATTTGCATCCGTTTGAGATGTTCACAAAAACTTATCTTTTCATGGACTGTAAAAGTCCATTCAGATTTAGTGTGTAAGGAAAGTGTGATGAGTGACAAGTAGGTGCGTAGGTGCGCCCGACCAAATCCCACCAGAAGGTCAAGCAGGATTGGCCGAAGGGTGTTGCCCGCAGAGCGGAATGAACATCTGGCAACTTCATTTGGCGGAAGGGCTGGTCTGCTTTTTGTGCATCTTATGAAGTTTTTCTTTTCAAGGGGAGTGCTTGGGTATTACGTGAGATGCCGCTTTGGATCAAGAAACGATACGAAACGAACGGCAGAAAACTACCAGTCTTTATAACAGAAAATGGCATCAACTCACCAGGAAATACATCGGCAGTGGACGACTGGGACACACGTGCCGTTTACGCCAGCGTAAGTATTATGTAAGAATGTACACCAGCCAATCTAAACAGGGATGTACCTTTGGTCGCCAAAACTTTACCGCGCCCGTTTGCCAAATTTCGGCAGCCTTTTCTGTCTGTCAATTTTTGCCCCTTCTTCAGCTGCTTTGAAATGCCAAAACTTGGCGTACTAAGAGGCCAAAAGAAGACTAAGTTTGGCAGAACTTTAAGAAAATACTAATTTAGATAGTCAAGGTGCCCCCACAATGAGCGCGAGGCGATGCCGGGTAGGCGATGCCGTGCAGCCAGGCCGTGCTTGCAGGCCGTGCCGGCAGGTTTACCGACTTTTATGCGACAACAGCTTTACTTAGAAGATCGGAGGCGTAGCTCCGCGCAACCGGCACGGCCTGCAAGCACGGCCTGGCTGCACGGCATCGCCTACCCGTCATCGCCTCGCGCTCATTGTGGGGGCACCTTCAAGGAATGGTAAAATTAAGGGAAGCAAGGCGACACTGCATTTAGAGTAGGAAAACAAATAATGCCTTTGTCTCTTTTCGTGATTTCCTGAGCAAACGGTATAAGTGTTCGAAAGGCATGCATCGGAATATA